CCTTTTATTGTGCGGAGCCCCTAAGTGCCCCGGTAAAAAATTTTTCATGAATATGTACAAATATGTATAAACATACACATAAATATTCATAACGTATAATATAAGAAATATGTTCATACATGTTTATACATTCTTTTTTCTTTTGTAAAATTACTTTTTAGTGTAATAGAAATAATAATAGTAATGTGAAAACATTACAAATAATTAAAGTAATTTTCGCATGTTTTAGAAAAAATCAAGTTTAAAGAAATGTAAAAAAATTATTCATGTATAATTATACATATATAAAATTATGCATAATTATGTATGAACATGTATGGACATAATTCATATATAATTATATGTTTATGAATATTTATGCGTTTATGTATGTTCATACATATTTATACACATTCATGCATGAAAAATTTTTTACCTGGCATGGTTGTTAGTCCATTTACAATTTTCGTTAAATTACAATTTTCAATTTGTTTACAGCTAGTGGCAGCCGATTTGTTAACTTTCTTAAAGCAAAACGAAAGTTACCAACAAATTCTGTTACATGGGTTTTCAGTGGGCGGTTACATGTGGGGTGAAGCTTTGGATTTGATACAAAGCAACAAGGGCAAGTACAATACTGTTACTGACAGAATTGTTGGACAGGTATGGGACAGCATAGCTGACATTAGTCAAATCGCAATTGGTTTCCCTCGTGCAGTATTCCCAAAAAATATGATGTTGCAGTCTATGTTACGAAAATACGTAGAGTAAGTAACAGAGGATAGGATTGATAAAATAATTATCTTTGAGTAATATCAACGTTACTTTCAGATATCACATGAAGACATTCCACCAGCAAGCGACACAGTATTACATTCGATCCAGTCAGGTATTTCATGATGCTAATGTACTACGCGTACCAGCATTATTGTTTGTAAGCAAAACTGATCCTGTTGGAGCTGTAACCAGCAATATATCTTTGCGCGATACCTGGGATTCCTTAGGAATAAAGGTACGATTCGCGTTTACTAGCTCACGACAGAATCATGTAAAAATACATACTACATTTGTATTACAGACATATATGAAGGTATTCGAAGAGTCGCCGCACGTTGCCCACTTCTATACGTATCCTAAGGAATACGTTGCTGAACTCTACGCCTTCTTACAAAAATTAAACTTAATACAAAACGAAGAAAAAATTAGAGCGCGTCTCTAAGTATCTCAAAAGCACGCTATTCTTTCACATGTAGTTGTATTTTTTATATGAAGTTGCCTTTTAGATTTCGTACACTTAACACTTGCCACATGCATAATATATCTACATAGATAATAGACAATTTTGTATATATTTAAACTTACAAAATATTTATATAAAATTTTGGGAGAAATCAACACCAAGTTTGGCGAAAAATATGTTTTTTGAAGACATATTTTATGTCAAAACATCTTAGTCATATTTTTATACAATTTATCTTTGAAATAATTATGCACATAATTACAAACATCCATTCTTATTATTTAAATACAAATTGTAATATCTTGGGTGCAACACGATAAAAAGATAACAGTAGTACTATTTATCATTGTATCACGAATTATATATGGTTTAATTGTTTGTTGTATATTGGTGTTTTATTGTATATTAAATAAGCTGTTTTATTTTCAAGATTCCAATCTTCTTTTCCTCTTCTTCCTACGTTTTTCTCTCTCCTCTTTGTAGATATCTACCTCATCCGATAGTTGGCCTCCTTCCAATTCTTCTAAGATTAACTTCTTTTGCTTATTGATCATTTTCTTTTCATAAAAGTCAGTCTCATCCAATTTGATTTCTGCTTCCCGTTTTGCCACTGATATTTGCGTCACGATTGTAACGATTTCCTTATCTAGTATCAATTAAAAGATAATCAGAGAGAGAGAAGAGAGAGATGCAATTTTTAATTACTTAAAAAAAAAACAAAGCGCAAAACAGGATATGTACTCACCGTCTACTTTATACTCCGTTAACTTAATGCCTATGACATTTTCAATCGCGTGCAACAACTTTATGTCGTTTGGAGTTATCAAGCTTATCGACATACCGTTTTTACCTGCACGAGCTGTTCTACCGACTCTATGAATGTATTCTTTTGGTACATTCGGTATTACATGATTAATGATTAATTGTACTGTAGGGATATCCAGACCTCTCGCCGCGACATCAGTAGCAATTAATATCTGTATGTGATTTGACTTGAATTTATTTAGCGCTGCTAAACGTTCCTTTTGCTTTATCATTGCGTGAAGAGCCACGTTCGTAAATCCGACATCATTCAATGTCATGGATAATAATTGACAGTGTCTAAATATAACAAAATAATGATATTAGTAATTGCTTAAGAGTCTAAATATATAATTAATTTTATATCATGTGACGAAAACAATTATTTACTTGCAAGTGTCCGTAAATATCATAATAGAACCATCTTCGTTTGTGATACGAAACGTCCTAATTACTTCTACCAGATATGAATCGAGCACATTCTTAGGACACAATACGTAACGTTGATCCAATTCCTTCACAGTGGCAATACCAGAGTCATCTTCCTCTTGCCATGTAAAAACCTGGATGAAAAGTTCCATTCCGGTAAATTGAATGTAATATAATACATAAAAGAGGGAAAACCTATAATGATGTAAGTCTTTTAATTATGATTTTGATAAAAATGAGAATACAAAATAAAAAACTCTTCACACACACATTACCAAAAATTAAAAATTATAAAAAATTTTTTCAAGTGACTTACACCACTATGGTTTCCACCCCCTCATGCAGTTGCATTGTTGAAATATACCTCAGTAGAAGCTATTTGCTTTACTTTATCCAGAGTATCTGTCATAGTAGCGCTGAAAAATAATACTTGTTTCTGTTTGGGCAATGCAGCAAATATTGTCTTCAATTGTCCATCGAAATGACCACCGAGCAATCTATCGGCTTCATCCAATACTAAAAATTTGATCTTCTGCAAGGAGAATGTATCACAGCTGTCCAAATGATCTGCCAATCGACCTGGCGTAGCTACAACTATATGTGGCCGTTTTGACAATTCTAATCCTTGTTCCAGCATATCCATGCCGCCAACAATTACACATTTTTTCAGATTGATAGCCTTGCCAATTGCGGCGAATTGATCAGCAATCTAAAATAATACCAGTAATGAGATTTATAATTAAATGCAAGCATGATTTATCTTGGTGAAATTGTTCTCTATTATTTCGAAACAATTAAAATTATTATATTATAGGGGGGATAATCCAAAATAAATTCCATAAATATATAACAATTTATATTACAATAGCACAATAAAGTAGAATTTTTCACCTGAAAAGCTAGTTCCCTCGTTGGTGTTAACACAAGAGCAAATATGCCATATGGATCCTCGCACAATTTTTGCAAAATAGGCAGGACAAATGCTAAAGTTTTGCCACTACCAGTTTTGGCACAACCTATGCAATCTTCACCCATCAGTATTCGAGGAATGCAATTTTGCTGAATGGGAGTTGGCTTTTTTAAGCCTAAAACAAATAATAGCTGTATAATTTCAAAAAACAATTCTGCAAAAGTTTAGCGTTGAATACCATCAAATATTGGAAATTTTATATATCATCGAACATTATTTTAGGTTTTTAATAAATAATTTTTATGGAAAATTCCTTACCCATAGACTCGCATTGCGCAAGGAGCCAAGAATTCAGTTTCAAATCTGAAAAATGTTTAACTTCTTCGCTCATGTTGGAAACGTTGTCGCAATCGCATATTAATTGTTAATTTAAATCAACTCAAAATTCATTCTGCATGATCCTACTCAGACCATGTGCTGATATGCATCGACGAGGTAATAATAGATCTACTGTTTACATTCTTTGCGAATAGACCTAAAGGTGCAAGCAATGTGGACAGACATAAGGTTCTGTTTTTTATTGCTGCACTTTCTGAACTGGTACACACGGTACAATAATATACATTTGTTACACTTCAACTTTGGTCTGTTTTTTGTTCCTGCACTAGATTATTCTAGAACTCTCTTTCTCGCTTTAAACAAATATTAAACGTATATATTTCTTTCTTACTAAGTTCCAAAAGTGTATACTAGTTCAGCCACAGAAAACAGACCTCTTATTAGGCCTGTTCTTTTTGATTGAACTTTGCACCAGTTCATCTTTCTTCCTCTTCATTCCTCCTGGAGAGAAAAGGAAGAAAGATGAAGAAAGATAAACTTGGTGCAAAAGTTTAGCCAAGAAGAACAGGCCTAAGGGCGACTGTTACCAACTTAATCGATTGATTAACTTAATCGACGATTAACTCAATCAATCAGATCTCCAAGTTAACCTCAAAGAAGAGTTATTGATCATTCGATTTGAGACCTCTGCTCCCCGAAGAGGTTATTCATTGGATCGAAAGATCTGTTATTTTTACATGGTACTGTGACTCTAAATTTGAATCGGAAAACCAATCAAGGGGAAACTAAAAAAAGAAGAACTCTATCAGCAGTGTAGTCAACAGCAAGATTGTATATCGTTCTTAACCTCATCTCTTCGTGATATATTTCTATCTCTGCGTTCCTGTATTTAACTGTGATAAAAGTAATAAAAATCTCCTATCTATAATAATAGTTCTGCTGATTAAGTTAATCAAACTACCTCGTCGGTGCCCGGTGGTACATATCATGAGAAGCCCAAGTTGATGTTAAATATATATCTCGTTAGTGACTAAGCTAATTCTTCAGAAATAACAAAATTTTAGAGAATACAATTCTTACAGATTATATTCTTCTGATATTATAAATTGTTAATTTTCGAGATTCGCGACTACATTATTTTATTTATATTATTTTCTTTATATTACTTTCATACTATTGTTATTTTCTATTGATAAGTCAGATTTCTTTTCAGATTTATTTATCGAGGAATGTCGAGCGACATCTTGGCAACACGTGGTATCGCTGGAGTGATTATTTATAATTTTATATTCTACTCCGTTTCGTCAATCGCAGTCAGTCGCATTGCGTTCGTTATGGCGGTAGTTTAAGTTTTACCGTCGCCGTTCTTCCAAAACTTTCTTAATCAATTTCACATTCTGCTGCAGTGCCAGTGACTGTGAAAGAATTCAGCCTACGCACATTAACCCCATAATTTCGTCTTTTTTCCTCGCACATCTCGTTCGTAGAAACGCAAGAAGTCGTAAGATCAAGCGCAGTTCCTAGTTTGTAGTGAAAGTGTTCACATTCCTTGACCCAATTGGAGTATCTCTCAGATTTTCACGTCCCTTCTTCCATCGTTATTTCTCGAACTTGATGTCTTGTACCTATCAACACCTAATACATTCCATAGTTTAACGCTCGACTATACCTGGTGTACAGAACGTAATAATGAACGACGATAAAAAATGTGATGTAATCCGAGTTGGGTCTCGGAAAAGCGAGGTGAGTGCACGCTTTCGTTTTTTTTTAATCCGGTTTTTCGGTTTTACAAGGAAAAAAAATATTTTTTGGGAAAACCGCAAATCGCATTATGTAAATTATTATGTAAAGAATGATTTCCGTTTCTCTTTTAACTAAGAAGACTGATTACAAGTCATCTCTTATCGATGACAATTATTAATTTTATGTAATCACTGCTGCGCATGTTGCCAGACTGTTCTTGTATCTCTGGCGTAAGATTACTCAGCAGTTTAAAAAATTTTTTTTAGTTTATCATCAGAGATGACTAACGATAATATTTAAAAGTATAAATTATATAAAAAAGTATAAGGATTGCAAAGTGGTTTTTTAAATATGTAATTAAAATGTCAATTTAGGAAGTAAGCAACTCGTTACACAATTTTACATATTATATATATAAAATTATGTATTTTTTTTATTTGTTTTTATTACATGAAATTGCAAAGAAGCATGTTTTTTTTACTTTGAACATGAATAATGTATTTTTTAAAACCTTTTAGTTGGCCTTGATACAAACTAAACACGTAATACAATGTTTGAAAGAAATTCACCCCAAAAAAGAATTTAAAATAGGTAAGCAGATTATACAACTGTGCACGCACTATTCGCTGTTATGTTGGTTATTTTCCGTGTAACTTAAATAAATTTGTTTTGAAGAAATTTAAAAATTCAGTATCAGATTTCATAATTTCTCAGTATCACACGTGATAATCTCGCAACTTCTCTTCTTTGACTACATATCATTATATAATATATTTGAAGCAGAGTTGGTAAAGACTAATGTTTTTTTTTTAAGAAAACATATTATGTTTCTTCTTGAATATGTTTTTAATGCTTCAAATATGCTTTGAACAGTACTATTATATAAAAAAAACATATTTAAAACATATTAAAAACATCAATTAAGCATGTTTTAAACTGTTTAAAACACGTTTAAAACGTTTTTTTTACCAACCCTGATTTGAAGTACTGATAAGTACAGCTTTTTCTTGTTATATATTGAATGACTGGCATATAATGAAACATTCATTATCATATGTATTTTGTCAACAAAATAACTTATATATATATATATATCGAATGGTATATATGCACTTTTATAAAATTAGAAGCTTTATTTTATCGAATTGAAATCAAATTGCAGTAACGATGAATACTAAAGGGGATAAGATTTTGGACAAGTCTTTACCAAAGATCGGGGAGAAGTCCCTATTTACCGAGGAGTTGGAACTAGCTTTAGAAAATGGTAGCGTTGATTTCGTTGTGCATTCATTGAAAGATTTGTCAACAACACTGCCGACAGGAATGGCTCTAGGGGCAATATTAAAGTAAGTTCCATCTGATATATAATATTGAACATCGTAAAATTCGAGCTATTCTCTCTTAAATTGACTGTGATACTACATTCGTCTGTAGTTACTTCTCGTCAGCAAAAGCTGACTTTGCTATTTTGCATATCAATGCTCCAACATGGAGAGCACATTTTAAATTTAAATGCAGAGACGTATGCTATCGTTCTTATGAAAGAAACATCTTGTATTCAGTCTTATCAATTTTAATTAACCTATACATTTTTATTAACTTCAATTTTAATTAACTTTACTGTTTTGCTAATAAAATAATTATATGTTGGTTAATGCCAAAGCTATTAACTCAAATGTATAGCGCATTACGAAAAATTGTCTATTTGCAAAAATTCAATAAAAAAAATATGTATTTATATTTTAAATAAATTAAACTATAAAAAATTAATATTCGTTAATAATGCTAATAAATAATATATTTTTGTAGACGTGAGGATCCACGCGACGCAGTGGTCATGTCGAAGAAATTCAAAGATAAAACATTAACTACATTGCCGAAAGATAGTGTAATAGGTACTAGCTCTTTACGTAGATCCGCTCAATTATCACGGAACATGCCGCACTTAAAGGTAGAGAACATTCGCGGTAACTTAAACACTAGATTAAAAAAATTAAACGATGAAAATGGTCCCTACGCCGCGATCATATTAGCTGCTGCTGGTTTAAAACGGATGGGCTGGGAAGACAAGATAAGTCAGGTATGATCTTTTGTCTTATATTCCATTTTGGTATTCTGCAAAATTTATTTGGATTAACATATATATGTATTCTTTTAGTTTTTAGAACCCGAGGAAGCCCTTTATGCTATCGGTCAGGGTGCATTGGGTGTTGAATGTCGAGAGTCAGATTGGAAAATACGTTCAATTTTGGAACCATTGTTTGATTTAGAAACCACATTGACATGCGTGTGCGAGCGTTCATTTCTAAAAACCCTTGGTGGCGGATGTTCCGCACCAGTCGCAGTATCTTCATCTTTGAAGAAGACCGAGTTAATGATTACCGGTGCTGTATGGTCTCTAGATGGTCAAACTCTGATTACAGATACTTCTAAAAGCAAGTTGTATTTACCCAACGACGATGGTGAGCCCCCTCGGTGAGTTAAATATGATTTTTTAATATTTTTTAGAATATTTTTGTATAAGATTGAACATACTCTGATGTCGACGTTATATTATCAATGAATATCTTTGAGCATATTGCATATTTAATTTATTTTATATTTAATTTGATTCACGTTTTTTTCTCTTATAGGAAATGTCCATATCAGGAACCCCGCCTTTATTGCAGCGTTATTCCTAGTTATAAAATAAGTAGTATAAGTCTTCTTGGTGCAGAACTCCTTGGTAAAGATTTGGCCAAAAGTCTTATAAAGAAAAATGCTCTCGATGTAATGTCACAAGCCAGAAATGAAATTTTAGATTCAAAATAATTGTGTCAAATATGATCCTGGTTGAAAATGTATAGAGGATGTGTATTAATGTAAAATAACAATTAATTATTAATAAGTTCCCAATCTTAACGTCTTACCACTGTAAATCTATTATACATTTTTATTGATACATGCTCAAGATAGAAAACACAATTAAAATACAAATCATATTATTTTTTGTACTGTTGCTATTCTCTCTCTGCTTTTGCATATGTCATACACATTTTATTTATTCTATTTGATGATTCAAGAAAAGTACAAAGTAATTGTAATTATAACAGTGAAAAACATTGGAAATAATCATATAAAATAATACAGAATTTCAGTAATACGAATTACTGAAATTCTCATATTGATGTATTTACGTTCTGAACAAATTGTGCTCACAAGTGATATGAAGATTATTATTGTATGTTCAAATGTATGGTTATGTAAATAACCATAATTATTTTGTTCACAAATTATTATATGGAAAAATTATTATATAGAAATTTTATTGTTGAAAATAAGTTTGTTGTAAAACACTGCCATGTATAGGTCAGTAACAATTAATGTCATATATATATATATATATAATTCCGTTTATATTTTAAACAGATTACAATAATCGAGTTTTGTACATGTATAATTTATGAACATTAGCTCATGAGTATATGTATATATAATTTGATTCTGTTAACTTTTGGGTGTTATTTTAATAATCGATTTCTTTTTACATTTTGAGGTATTATTAACACTATATATAAAATTACAAGGTATCAAGCAAAAGCAATGTGTAATTTCATTATTCATAATTGAATTTTTCATCTATTATTTATATATATATATATATATATATGCCAATAAAGAGAGGTTCTTATGTAAAACATGTATATGGACCGAATTGTTTGTAATATATGGACATAATTATATATGGGAATTATTAAAGCTATAATGGAAAAAATTATATAATGTTATTATATGTAAATAAAGGAGTTTTATATTTTATCTCTATTATCTTATTTCAAATAATAATTTAATGTAAGAGTATTTAATATAAATATTCTTTAAAATTGCGCGCAGTAAATATATTTTTTATTTATGTTTATTTCTTTATTTTATGCTCATTTGATAGAATTCCAAATATTTTCTATAAGAATATAATTTTTCCAAAAGTATTATGTGTTGTATATCTTTGAATTGTTATTATATGTATAGAGAGAGAAAGTTAAATATCTTCGAATATATAACAATATACATCTATATTTTCAAAATAATTTCTAGAGCTTATAGCATTTATAGCGACATTAGATTTTATCTATAAAATACATATATATTTCTGCGTAAATTTATAGCGACACACATCATAAGATTTACAATAATCTTCCAATTGTATATACTTTCGTAAATGCTTCAAGAATATAATAATGTACCTGAGCAGGTAAATCTTCCATATTTTTATAATAAATGTGCACACATTGGATATAGCTTAGATGATTACAATAATTGTACGAGATTACAATTGGATCCGTAGATTGTGGTGTTGTACAAGTCACTTTTCCACATTTACTACACCAAAGTAAGGCAACGTATATGCTTATTAGTATTGCAAATGTGATAGTGACAGCGTATTCTATTGAACACAGCTAATCAAAACATGTAATTAATATACTAGTTTATTTTATTAACGTCAATTCCTGAACACACAAATGACATATGTTGCTCAGAATCAGACTAAAGCAGTAGCTATATGTAATCTGTTAAAAATTTATCATGTTTTGATAAAACTTTAACTTGTATAGTAACTTGTACGTTAATTTTTATAACAAAACAATTATATATATATATATATATGTATGTATGTATATAATACATACCAAACAAAAACAAAATTTCTTTTTGGTATTAAAAAATATTAGTAAAAATAGGATATGTGAATCAATAAGGATAAATTAGTGTTTCTCAGAGAATATAAAATCAATACAAATAGTAATTCCATACAAAATGCAACAGGACAATTATATGTGATGTTAAATCTATTAAAATTACAACTGTTTTAGTAATATGCAATATGTTTGTATTGAATATATATTTTTCACAGAAATGTTTAAAGCTATATGTAAATTTTAGATGTTTATATTTTTCAAGAACATACATTAATGGAATTGGAGCATTTAAAGAGAAATTAAAATTTTGATTTGGTATCAGAATACTATATGTTTTACATCTATCAAAAATTGTCAGAATCGCTGTTCAATTAAAATTTATTTTATTTAAATAAACGGATACTAAAATATATCCGTTTGACAAAATAAAATAATGATTTGTAAAAATTTTTTTATATACGGTTGATACATACATCTACTAAGAAAAATGGAAGTTCAATACGGGACAACGAATTGTACAAATGTAGGATTTTCTAAATGTAAACTATATATTCGCACCCATATTGTGCAAAGATGAGCAAACTCTTTGCTAATTTCAGATTTTATTTAAGTATTGTCAACAAAATTTTATATTCCTCTACTCAACATCTTCCTCCGCCATTTGGGTTTGCGATACTATTTTCTGTAAGAAAGCAAATTTAAAAAAAGAATACTACCTCTCATTTCAATAATACATTTTTAAAACTAATTCTTACCTGGCCAACAACGGGTAGTCGCTGCACCAGAATTTGGAAAATTGGTGGTGGCAAAGTCTTCTGAAGAACTGTCAGCAACTGGGCTGGCTGTCCACAGACTGCTACTGCATTAGCCAAATGCTCAACTCCGCCATCTATTTCACCACAAGCCAGTAATTCCTCCCCAAGTTGAACCTAAACACACAAAAAAAGTGTAATATATTACATATTTAAATACATTTGAAGCGTTGAGTGGCTTGGTGCTCAATCCACAGATTAGCAATTCGTAAATCCAGGTTTGATCTTATCCAGGCCTCACATATGTGACATATGCAGGATTTTACCTACATTTAAGTAACGTTCCATTTATAATTAAGAATCCCAATTGCACCTTAAACTAAGGAGTTTCACCGATTACGCATTCCAGTGATTAAAAGACAAATTTGGTTAAATCAACTAACTTTTAAGTCTTCAAAGAACTTAAAAGTTAGTTGATGATCATCTGTGACATGATTTGGTTGTATTGCCTCCTTATACTTTGGAAGCAGGAGCCATTAAATAAATTTAAATAAATTTTAAAGAATTAAAGCTAGATACATATACAGTCAGAGTAACAGCAAGATTTACCTCTTGCAGAAAGAATTTCTGCACCAATTCATGATCCCTCAAATCTGGCATCTTTGAGGAAGCTTTCTGAGCTTGCTTCTTAGCCTTTCTACCTGTGTAATAAAAATAAAATCTTTTTTGCAAAGAATAAGAGTTAGATACATTTTTTATAGTTTGAGGTACGACAGAATGTTATATAGAGAAAAGAGGGATAAGATGACATTTAGTACCGATTATTTGTCTAAATAAATCTTATCATATGCAATTCATTAATTTTATTATATTTTTAGTATATTTTTTCGTTCTTTATTTTCCTTAGTTTTAATTACATTCTTATATTATGATATCAAAATAATATAAGAAATGTTTATTACAATAAAACAAATTTTTTTATTTACAAAAAGTACATTTGTGCCTTTCTATAATCTTATCCATTATTGAGTTATCTTACCCATATATGAGTGATATAGGGGCAAGATAACAAAATTGACATGTTCTTAAAAAATATAAATTTAAAAAAATTCTAATTTATTTTACAATCTTTTAATTTTTACAAATGATAATCAAGACTGTAATGAATTTGAAAAATATACATTGTTCTTTTTACTTTGTCACAGAAATTAGGAAAAATTGACAAACCTTAAGGTCATCATCTTATTCCCCTTTTCCCTATATTTATAATTACATTTGTAATGCAATAATAAATATTAAAAATGAAATGATTTTCAATATATAAATATATTAAAAATTTTAATATATAAAAAAGGATTTATGTAAATGTACAATGTATAAAATGAACTACATTTTATATGATTGATGTAATGTACGTTGTCAAGAGGAATTATACCTGTCTTTACCAAAGACATTGATTTCTCTTAGAAACGTACATCACCACGAGGAAGTCACGCGTGCACGAGAATGAAAAATCAGAACTTACGTTCGCGGAGCTTCTTTTTGAAATCGGGATCACTGCGGCGCTTTTGGTCAAAGTAGAAACAATAGCCAACAAAGATCCCGGCGATCCCGACGGCAATGCCGACCGCGGTTTTGGAAATCATGGTCATTCTAATACACAAAATCCTGATATATTACAGAAAATTCACGAGACCCTCGTCGCAACCTCGGCCATCATGGAAAAGGTTGTCTTCCATCACTTTTCCCATCGTGCGCACTGAACGTGCCCGCGAGAAACAGTTTTAGACATCAGCTCCTCTATGTGCATAAAATGTGAAACTGCGAAGCACGTCACAAATAGTTGACCAATAGGTAACACGTTATGTCCAGTTACGTGTTATCCGTCGAAAATATTTGTGGCTACTTAGTTCTATGTACATATAGGGGCGCCAGTAAACGGATTTCATTTAAAATACGAGCACTCTCTCTTCTTACAGCTTGTCTTTGTTTTGCTCAATTTTGCTTCTCTTTAAAGAAGAAGAGGGAAAGACAACCGGAGTAAACGAAATGCATGGATAAAACGGCAGGTATAATTGCATGACTAAAAATGAAAAACGAATAAATATCAAACGGTACGTTTTTAAAAAAAAAAAAACGGTTTGTATATTTGCTTCGTATTTTGTGTTAGTAAGTTAACAGGTATTTGGAAATATTTATAGATTGATTGACAAAAGATATACAAGTGCCTTTGATAATTTATCACCTGAATCTTTTGGCGGTAATTCGTGACCATGTCATTAATAAGGAAACCCATGCGATATGCTCATCAAGAAGGACACACCGACGTTTGCTATTATTCTGGCGAAAAGTAAATGACATTATGTATATTACTTGTGTATATATACTGAATCTGTCACAGAAAGTTATTATTGAATGTCTGGGATTGTAGGAGAGGGCTCGTTACGTGTGGATGCGATGGGGACGTTAGATCCTGGTTAAATTTAATGGAC